ATTTTAGGAGACGATTTATCTTTGGTTTTCTTAGATCACATTTCAAAGGTACATAATTGGAAAGCACTTTTGTTTCTGACATGGGATTTACCCAGTTGGCTTGCCCATTAAATAACATGACATGAAATCCTCAATTTTATCATGCACTAGAATTTTGTGAAATGCCAAAATTTGAAAATGCCAGAGCCAAAAGTAATGGCACAAGGTTTAAACTCAATGACAAGCTGGACTATGAATGCAGAGGTGGCTATGAAAATGCAGGTGGAAACACCACAGGCTCTTTAGTATGTGGTAATGATGGATGGTCTGATACACCCACGTGCTATGGTAAGTTCTATTCATTTTCTTTCTTTCAGGAATTTATTTTTGGGGATAATATAATCTGTATATGTCCCTTATAAGGTGTTATTTTAATTACCTAGAGGCATTGCTAAGGAATGATTAGAACCAAGATATCTCAGGATTTAATGTAAACAGGAGGAGATAGCATTTAAATAAGGCCCTTTGGTAGAGTAGTGGTTATAAGTCAGGCTGTTAACCTCAAAGTCAGTAGTTAGAAACTGCCAGCCTAGCCAGCTGTTTCACCAAAGAAAGTTGTGGTTTCTACTTCTGTAAAGATGTACAGCCTCAGAAACTTTATACAGGGTCACTATGAGTTGGAACCGAATCCATAGCATGCCACCACCACCGGATTATAAAGGCTAAAGATAATAATCTATATTTACAACAGTGCATCAAAGTAATATTTCCAATGGTTCACATACATACACTACAGATTGGTCATTAAACTGTAAATTGTTTCAAGTAATCCTATATGCAATCTTTCAGATGGTTTAAAGCTGGGTACCCATTATCATTTTATGATTCATCACAACCTTTTCTGTGGTTTTACTCGTAACTTTCTGCTTTTTCCCACCTTGATTTCTAGTTTTTTTAGTTCCTATCAAGAACTTCATTTCAGATACCAACATTTTCTCTGAACTCTTCTGAAATTCTCTTGTACATTTACGGTTTTCCAGGGATACAAAATAGTATTTAATCTTTGTAAAATGAGTGGATGTAGAGTGTTCCAAATAAAGGAAATAATATGAGCAAAGCTATAAAGCTAAGCCTCTATTTGGGAAATGTCAAATAAAAAAGAATCTCTGCAGGATGTGAGAGAATTGTATTAGCTGGAGATGGAGAGGAGGCAAAGGCAAGAGTATTCAGATTATTTTATTTTAGGGCATACTAGAATTGCATCGATCGATCTAATGCTTTTAATAGATTTGTATATTGAGAGTTTTGTTGTTGTTGTTCCTGGATTTTGAGCAGGTGGTAGTTAAGATAGGAAGTCAATGCATGGTGAGAAATGGTGGATATTCAGGTACAGTAAAGACTGAAGAGGTGCAGAACCAAGGACCTATTTGGGATATATTTGGTGATTGAGAGAAGAAGAAAAATTACAAAATGTCAGACAAGGAATTCACATGTTTTATTTCGTTTTTCAGATATAAGTAAGCAAATGACAATGCCACTATATGCCCATATGTTGGTCTGTCTACTTTGCACATGTACCTAGGCTGTCTCTTAAACTACAGGCAGCCATCAGACTGTTATAAATGGGGTATCTATACACCCACTGGTATCACCCATTCCATGGGTGCTACATTTTATCTGTGACATTTATGGGTACATGGGACAGTTACACAGTGTAGGCAAAATAAAACTCATGATTATTTATAGAAGGCAAATATTAAACAATAACAACAGACTCTCAAAAGTGAATTGATTACCTTTCCTTAAATTACCCATGCCCATTCTTATGTTGCTGGACAGGTGTGCTACAGTTCACATCAGATGCTGT